CAGAAACTACCACACATTTGAAGGCCTGACCAACAGGCTGAGGTACATTCATGTGACTTACAGCCTGCTGCTTCAACCCTTCAATCAGGTCCTGGAGCGTCGGCCGCAAGGGACCAAAAGGACCCCTCGGGACCATCGGGACCTAAGAACCCAATCGATGGGGGGGGGGGAGGGATCCGTGTGCCATCTCCTCCTCTCTCTTCTACGTGCGCCCCTGGTGGTGATGCACGCGGAATTTGGTTCCTCGTGAAATTGCAAGTTTTGTGACCATCTATGATGCCCCTGGATTCACTTGTCTTTCGGCTTTGGTGCATCCAGGAAATAAATGTTATGACGTCCTGAAATGGAGGTTTCGTTTCCTTCTCGCCGAATGGGCCGGTCCGGAATTTTGTCAATGGACATGGCACGGACAAAGTGATGTCCTGGAATTTGGTGAGTCTCGAAAATGACGATGTGGCGTCCTTTGCTATGCTCCTGGACTTTGGTGCGTATTGCATAGAAAGGTAATGATGTGCTTCCAAAATGAAGGTTTGCTGTCCCTCCAGGAACGCAGGCACAGAGAAGGGAAGCACAAGGGTCATGTGCCTCCCTTTAGTTCTGAAGGGCACTTTGAGCCACGTGGGACCTAAGATTAAGGGCCCGAAAGACCGGCTGAAGATCGCATTCAGGGTCGCAGGGCCGGGCATTCCAATGCCACCCAAAAGGACCTGCCCGCTGATCAGGAACCCCTGGGTAGAAAAGGGCCTATATGTCAGTCAGACACCACCACTAACGCACAGCCGGCTCCATGTCGTCATGGGCCTGAGCGCTTATTTCCTAAACACGGACAAAGCCGGAGCCAGCGATTTACATCGTTCGGAGCCCCAGCATCTGGCAGGGCCCCGTGGCGCCTAAGGGAGGACCTGTGTTGGAAAGAGGCCCTGAGTCAGCCAGGGAAAGTGGTCGAGGAGGCCCGACAAGCCTGGAGGGCCCACCGGGTCCGACGATTAAGGGTCCAGTTGGTGAGTCTAAGGGCACGTGGGGCTGGTCGAAGTCTTATTCAGGGGCCTCGGCCCGCAGAGACGGAAAATCAAATGCCAGTCATTGCACCCTTTACACCGATCGGGAAACCTCTGAGTCGATAGGGGTCTAGATGTCAGGCACCACCAGGGCCACACAGTTGGCTCCGTGTCGGTATGCGCCTGAGCGTCCACTTCCTAGTCGGCAAAAACGATTTACACTGGTCGGGACCCCTGCGTCTGGCAGAGGCCCTCAGCCCCTAACAGAGGGTCCTGTGCTCGCAAGCGGCCCCGGGCTGACCACGAGCAGCGCCTCATGAGGCCCAAAGAGGGCCCCGGGCGGCCCCCCGGAACCGACGATAAATAACCCGGCTGGAGGGCATAAGTGCCTGAATGACTGGCTGTAGGCTAGATAAATAATTGCAGCCCCCAGGGTCGTGACCTGAAATATCAGTCAGAGGTCCTCTTGGACCGTTTGAGGACCCCCTGAGACAATGCGGGTGTCTTATTCGGCCACAGGCCACAAACATCCAGCAGATGGCTCCTTATCAGTCTGAATCCTGGGGCCCATTTCCCACGCAGGAGGAAGGCCGGTGACCACGATCTGCATTGGTCCGGGTCATCGAAACAACGCATGGGTTCCCTGTGTCGTTCAGGGGCTCACAGCGCCTAACAGGTGATGATGTGTCGGCCAGCTGCCACTAGTCGGCCAAGGTTGTGTTTGAGGAGATCCGAAGAGGGGCCAAAGGATCCCTTGGGACCGAAGGTCAACGGTTGGACCCTGGCCCTAGCCCTCCACGCGCAGTGTCGTAACCTGAAATTTCGGTCACAGGGTACCTATTATTAGGGTTTTATTATTAGGATTTTATTGAGGGCTCTACTATTATGGTTTTGTATCCCTATTGTGTAGGGCCTTTACATCGAGCTCAATGTCCATTTGAACCTTTTTGAACCCACTTCCCAAGTAGAAACGAGGCCGAGGCGGGCGATTTTGAATGTTCGGGGCCCCTGACACAATGAGCGGCTCCTATGTCGTTCAGGGGCTACAGTGCCTGATAGGGGTCCTGGAGCGGCAAGAGGGATCGAGTTGGGCAGGAGCATCAGGAGCCGATTGGATCGCTGAATAGTCCAATGGAATGGCTGCAGGTCGCATTAAGAGCCCCCGCCCGCAGGGTCGTGATGTCGAATTAGAGGGTCTTTTGCATCGATTAAGGACCTCTGAGAAAGAGCGTTGCTCTTTTTCGGCCAGAGACTATCAACACCGAACAGTCGGGTACGTGTAGGTCTGATCTCTGGGGGCCCATTTCCAAAGCATGTACAAGGTCAGACCGCGATTTAAAGTGGTCAGGATGCTGCCTGCGATAATGCGGGCTCCTGTATCGATCAGTGGCCCATAGTGCCGAACGGGGTGTTATGTGTCCACTTGGGGCCTCGAGTTGGTTAGGGAAACATTTACTCAGCAGACGATGACGAGACCCCGAACGACCGAGGCCCACTGGCGTTAGTCGGAGCCCTCTAACAATGAAAGGAGACCTGAGGACCTATGACGAGTGTTCACATTGAAACAATGGTAAGGTCTTGCGTCATTCAGGGCCCCCAGTACCAAATGGTGGGCCCTCCAATCCAGTTCCAGCACTGGAGTCCATGTGACAATTATTGGACCATCTGCGGTGATCAGGGATGTTTTTGCGTCAAAGAGGGTTTCTGTGTGGATCCGGGGCCAATTGCGCGGGTCAGAAGGCCCCCGCGTCAGAAAGGGGAACAGCGTAATATCATGTATCCCTCTAAGGGCCTCCGGATCGACCAGGGATCCCGCCCCATGTCGCCAGAATGGCAACCGGACGATATCCCGCGATGGGACGGAATGGCCCTTAAGCCCTTTGCGGAGAACAGTAATGTACCCTTGGTGTTCTACTCAAGTATGCCCTTGCCCGAAGAGAACTAAGAGATCAGATAAGTGTTGAAAAAATTGGGTCGAAATAAGTTCGCCATCCTAGCCAAGCCATCCTGCATCTGTCGGAGAACGTTCGTTCTTGGGCAAAATCGTCTTGTGGGACAAATGTCACCAAAAGGTTAAAGCTTTTGTGCCCGCAATGACGGGAGTGAGGACAGTGATGGCCTAGGTTGCAGCTTCGGCAAGGCGTTGGCCTCTGCAGGTGATACCAGGCGGTGGGTGCCGTGCGCACGAAAACGACCGTCGTGAAACGATGGGTTCGAATGTCTCAAATTTAGATTGGATTGAGCGTGCATTTTTACAAATTTATGATTATCCTCTGGACAGATTGACAGTTACAGCAACACGAAAAACAGAGAAAACCTTTACTCTTACAGTTCCATTACCAAATTTGACGCGAAGATTTGCGGCGTATGCTCAAAACTACGCTACATGATTTGCATCACGAATCGTTTCGTACCAAATGTCGAATATTTCCGGGCAAACAACAAATTTTTAACCCTTCTCATCATCAAACTGCAGTCGCAGGGTCCTGAATATGTCTGTAGAATCCAGATCATATTCTGACAAAGCTTATGAGTTCCATCGCATTGGAAAGAGTTTATAAGATCATCGTTAAATAAACAGCGCCGGAGGTTTATTTCATAACATCTTTTAAAGCGGTGGATTATATTTCAAGGAGTTCTGCAGTGCATTGACTACACAGTTCAGGCAAAATTGATCCCGTAGTAGCTTTTAGCTTCTATTCCATTCGTAGAGGGTAAAACTAAAAGCATCACAGAAAATATGCACTTATTAAGAGATGGATAATTTCCGTGAATTTTGGGGTCTTTATATCTATCAAGGGCACCTTTATCAACTTTCTCTCCCCCCCCCCCTGTCAAGGCTCTGGCTACGCGCCTGTGCCCACTTCACCATGATATTTTGGTGAGGGAGGTGGGGACCCACCTAGAGGATCCGACTTTGAAAAGCACAGCCTCAACAATCCTGCGGAACGTTCTTTTTTAGACGGCACTAAATTAAACTAAAGACCATATACAATTACAAAAGGGCCGGCGATCTAAGCGAACAACTGAACGTTCAGCAATTTCTTTACAAGTTCGAAGGTGAAGCACAGGCGCCATCCAAACCCGAGCGCCGTCCGTACCCCGGGCGCCGTCCATACCCCGAGCAGCGTCCGCACCCCGAGTGCCGTCCGTACCCCGAGCAGCGTCCGCACCCCGAGCGCCGTCCGTACCTCGAGCAGCGTCTGTACCCCGAGCGTCGTCCGTACCCCGAGCGCCGTCCGTACCCCGAGCAGCGTCCGTACCTCGAGCAGCGTCTGTACCCCGAGTGCCGTCTGTACCCCGAGCAGCGTCCGTACCCCGAACGGAAACTAAACTCAGGGAAGCATGCGGCCTGCGGAGGAGAGATGCGCCGCGCCGCACACCATGCCGAGACGTGTAGGGTTTCCCGTTGGCGACAGTGCGTTTCCAGCCCAGCCGAGATCGAAACATAATCCGAGATTCCTAACTTATTTTCATAAGATTGAACTTTCTGTTTATGTCCCTTATTGAATAAATGGTTCAGGACTTGAGCCACCTCGGGATGCCCCGAAATGGCTTAAGCCATGAATGGTTTCGCTCCATGGCTCGTTCAAAGGATATTGTATTACAAAATAGTGATAGATACCTGTTGAGTAGAAGTAGCATCTTATTACGCATTTGTGATCAAATACGGTTCGCGCGTTGCATTGCACGTGCCTGAATGCGTCACAGCTGATCGTCCGTATTCGATCAGCTGTTGGAGGGCGGGGCGTAGCGTAAAGTCTGGTGACGTCACGGTCATGGCATCTCCAATAGGGTGCCCATAATGTTTTTTATATTTTGTAAATTTCCACATATATTCCAATAAGATAATCGAAATAATTGCTAGAAATGTTGTAGGTAGATATCTTTTATCAGTTGCTGCTTAAAAGATTTGCTGAGACGTATCTTGAGAGCACTATTTTTACTCCTTGATGGTGGTCGTTCGCCAAATCAAGAGTCACTTTCCTTATTTGTCTCGCGGGGGGCTGAGCGCTCTCCTTTCTTGCTCGTGTGCGAGAATTGAATTGTTTGTTTTGGTTAACCAGCTCCTTATTTGTAAATCATTGCAAATGTCAGGTGGAAGGAGCAAAGACAGTGCAGCGTGTGTTCCCCGGCTGGGGAAAAAGTGAGTGAGCTGAGAAATGCAGAACTCGAGTGGAGACGGTAATGGTCAAGATTCGCACCCACATTACTCGCTGAACTTCCCTGCGGCTCCAAGTTCAGAATCGTTCTACCACAACATATCGTCCAACCCAAGTGTGCCTAATATCCCTGGACTCTTGAGACTAGCTCCAACTTCGCCAATGGGTATGCCTGTGGTGTCTAGTGGAATCCAAACTGTTGCTGGTGCAAGCCATGGATACACAGTTCCTGGCAGCAATACCTTGAAAAGATCAGCCCAGGAGGCTGGTTTCACTGACCAGAGGCAGTGTGAGATACCCTCATCAGATGATGATAACTCATTATCAGAGAAGTTCTCCATTCCTCAAACATCTGTGTCACCTTCGGAGGGCCCTCCGAAGACATCAGAGCCTACTCAACCAGTGAAGAAAACAAAAGGAAGGGTAAAAATCAAGATGGAGTTTATTGACAATAAGCTAAGAAGATATACAACATTTTCCAAGCGGAAGACTGGCATCATGAAAAAGGTATGTTGGTCCATCAAATAACTCCTGAGGCATGTTTGCATAGGACATTCATGCGGAGCTCTTTTATTTGTTGTCTATAATGAAAAACACACTTTTATAAGACCACCCTATCCCTAAAGGTGCAACTTTCATTCTCGGGATGAGTGAAGTGCGTGGCTGTCATGGCAGGCTGTGAATGGGGGATATGCCATTGAAATTGTATATTTCATACATTTAGCCATTTAAGCAATCAATGCATAGGGAATGGTCATGCACACACCTATGTATGGCAGTAATTTGTTTATTTATGCTATAAGTTATAAGTTAATCAGAGTCCTTTTTTGGTGTAGTAGGATTATATTTGACTCCAGGTCCATTGCATTTTCAGCTGTGAACTTGGGAATTGTTCCATGCAGTGTGTGATAAATTCATGATTGGTTGACTTTGCCAATGGATTCTGACTGATTGAAATGATCTCATATTCTCAATATGAGTTGGCCATTATTTTGGTGTTTGGTTGAACATTGCATGAGGTGAATGAGCCTGTCAGAATGGATGGCATTATTTAATCATTGGGTTAGTTTGTGAGATGCAAAGGATGGGCTCAGGGCTTCAGAATTATCAGACTGAGAGGAAAGAACAAAACATTTTCATTTGAAAGACATACTAACCTTTCTTATTACCTTGGTTATGTCCTTGTCTTGAGGCTATCTGATTCTTGTTATTCTTGTAATTCTTGTTAAAAAGCAGGATGCACAATAATTATATTCATGATTCCTGGTGCTGATGCATGGCAATAGTTCCATAGCATTGTGTATTGAGTAATCAGTTGCAGCTGCCTGAAGGCTGTAATTGTAATGGCTGTTGATGTTACATCATACATATGTGGGCATTTATAGATATAACAACTGCTTTCAGCACTCACCAGCATGGTACCCAATGATACTCAGAAAGCAGCTTCAACTTGACATGTCAGGCCACAGTCACACTTTGACCAGTAGGGAGACTGGTGAGGGTGTTCAGTAGCAAATACCTAAGAAGGCATTCAAAACTTGCTCATGTGTGATGGTCAAACAGCATTTACAATTTGTGTTTGCAGTTTAAGACTGCAAACACAGTGTGTTCATTGACTCAATGAAAAGCAATGCTCTATTGATTTATGTCAGGACAAAATTTAATAATGAAACAGTGCATTCATATCACAGCTTACCAGGGGAATGTTTCCACAACATTCACATAAGCATGCACAGAGAAATAAAGTAATTGTCATGCCAATTTTATGGATCATGGAGCACATGCAAGTGCATGTGCAGTGAAAGCATGGATTTGCCAGAAACTGGCTGTTTTTAGTCTTATTAGTGCAGAATGTGTTTGAGTTCAGAAAATTACTTGTATGCAAGATAATCTAGCTCTTGGGTGCAAATGCCTGTAAGGTGTGGACAGCTTTTGACCTCCAGATACAATTTGTATTCCTAATTCACCTTACTGCCCAGTTTGCTCCCAAACAAGGGCCAAAATCCAAAAGTTGGAGGGGAGTGGGTGTGCTATTTAGATCTCATGATGCGGGTGAAGTCTCTTTTTTGTAGCCTGAATGGCAAAATGGCAGGAATATCAGCTAACACCCACCAGGTTTGACTGAAACATGACTGAAGCATCACTTCATGGCATGCTACTGAGCTGCCACCCATATCAATGTATTTTGAAGTAATGGACATTGTTCAGTTCCAGCTTGCAAACGAGTTTCTTCCATCCAAGCCTCAGCTCTCTGGCAGACGATCAGGGATCGGGATGAGCCTTGATGATGTTGTAGATCACATAGACCATGTCTGGTCAATGGGAGTCTGCCCCCAAATCTGTCACGCGTTAGCAGACCCGCACTGTATTCTGGGTCCTGCTTTAGTTCACACCATGTAGCGTCTTGCCTGACGGCAGATTCCAAGGAGGACTGCATTTGTAACTCCTGATGGTTTCCGACTCCGGGTCGAGGAAATGTCCGCTTCTGAAAAGTGTGGCAGCGCCTAAACGTTGTTCGTCTTACCAAAAACGTGATTCTTTGTACGACAGCGGACGGACGCGTGCTCCACTGGAATTGGTTAGGACTAAAACTCGCGGTTCATTTAACTGATCGCGACTCTGATTGCAAATAGCACAACGCAGTTTGAGTTACCTCTGATTCCGACTCAAAGGTACATGCTTACCAGAAGCGTTACCCGTGTGAAGCGCTTGAAACAACTGAGGGCCTGGGGTATAACGCAAGTTCAGGTTAAGTTAATAATGAGTTAAGTTGATAAGTTGGAGATGGGACTGAAGAAAAGCTGGCTAGACCTAACCTCAAAACATTTAAATGGCTTCTTCCCAGATCTGAGCCTCTTTTGTCTCAAATTGGGCGGTATGGAGCTTCTTTCCCACCGAATAAGGAACTACACCATTACGAGCAGCGAGAAACACGCTCCGAAGATGAGTTTTCTGAGGAATTGCCCAGCCATGGAGCGTACAGTGTGAAAATATTTGCCACACGCGTACGAACTCACACGTAAAATCCACGCGGATGTGGATAGAAGCATTGGAAACTTAGTCTGGAACCAGGTACACTTCATGCAAAGTACCACTACATCAACACCTCGTCCGTTATGTTTATAGTTCGACAGTCATCACACATACTCGCTCACGTGTACGCCACCACCGAATTTGGGCTTGTTTACATTTACGGTTTCGTGGACAGGCCACAATGACGTCACCACTGAGGACTTTATTTCCGCAGTGGTGAAGCGCCGGAGTGAGCCCCCTGGGGTGATTCATCGGACTCGTCTCTAGTATTGCAATACAGACGACATATCTCGCGCTGCCAGCTGTCCATAGCCCCTCGGGTGGAATAGACAAGAACAGAGCATTCAGTCGCATTGGACTGTGCATTAACGGCTTGAATTAGTAAGTGAAAGCTCGCCAATAGGGCAAACATACAAAAAGTAGGAATTCGTATGGTAGAAATAATTGACGTCCCGTTGATTAGCTGGTACCAGTTAACGAAAGTTATCAAGCAATCATTGGAAGTGGTTACAAAAACAACGTCCCTCGATGTGTTCTCGTTGACCATGTGCACAGCTGGAAAACGGAGCATTTTGCAAGAATTCCATTTGTGGCTAGAAATATTTTCTTAACCAACAATCCCATTGATTGCTGGAAGCTTTCACTTAGGCAGACGTCCAGTAACTCTCGTCATATTGCAGGACGGTTGTTTTGAGCATAATAATTCACGATGTTCAAAACGAAATCTGACGGGTTAGGATAAAGAAGCGGCCTATTTTACCTCTATGAACAATAAACGCGGAAAAAGTCGCGCTTTCAACCGTATGTACATTTAATCATTGACATCCCTCTGGTTGAAAACACTAAAACATGGTTCTTTTGAAGCCGGCTGATGAAAAGTTTTATGTTGGGAGCCCCGTAATACATATAATACTGTATATTACAGGCAATTTAGCAGCCGGCACATGCGTCATACCTGTGCATGAATTCGACAGCAAAACACAGCTAGCAAACAGAAAAACACAGCCCGCTCCGGCGGGGGCGGCAGGTGTTTCACCAACCCACGTATAACGACTGGGCAAAGGCTGTCCTGAGTTGCATCACCGTGGATCAACCAGTGACGGTTTTGGCGATTTTCTCAGCAATAAGCCAGTTTGACATTTTCATTCGTTTGTTTGTCATTGAAAAGTTTATGTTGCCCCATCGCAAGATCCTCTTTCAGATGTCGTTTGTGATGGTCGTGCTCCGTAGGTGGTGGAGAGGATTTCGTTTGTTCTGCGTCCGTGCGGAGCGCTCTTGGCCACTGACGTGTTTCAGGATACTCGCCGTAGTAATCACGTATACGAAAAGAGATTGGGGAGCTTTTGCTGGTCCGGAGTCATCAATGTAGCGCTTTGTTGGGCCTCGTGGACGGGAGGGCGGTCAAGTCGAGTGAGGCGTTCGGGCTACCATGCAAGTTTTTCAACACTATGGGTGGTACATCAGGTGGAAAATTATGAATCCAAAGTGCAACCTTTCAGTCCTAACAAATTCAGAACAAGTGAAATGCTGCCACGCGTAAATTCTCGTTCGTAACGCTAAGGACCTGAACGTGGTCATTAAACTACCACTCTACCGCTACTTCTCGCTTTTTCAGCACCCAGGCCGACGCCAAAATTGCGAAGAATTGTCGAGATGTAAAGGTACACCTCCTTACAGAAAGGCATCAAACACATGGGGAGCAGACCGCAATGGTCTATGCACTTAACTTAAACAAGTTTCTCAGTAAGCACAGGACATGACCCGTGTTTGCAGGCAGGTCACGCCCACGAACCCACTTATGCTGGTGCGAGCTGACATGGAGTTGATTCGGCCTTGGGGCGTTACTCCCCACTTGCTGTTGTCTGGGTCGAAGCCGGCCGAGAAAGAGTTTGCTAAAGTCGGGCTTAATAAACCGGAGATCTTCCGCTTGGTACGTGCATAAACCAAGTCTATCACGTAGTGGTATGGGCGTCGGCTCTAACGAAACGGAAGTAACGTAGGCTCTTGAGTAATGTTAAACCCTCCAGACTCACTCCCTCAGCCGACAGACTCAGCTACGAAAAGGACGATTTGTTTAAGCCCAGCCTGTTGTGCTCATATGTCAAGGTTCTCGCGTGCCGTCCACCATCTGTTAATGTATTTGTACCATAGGCGCGTCATTTTTAGGATAATTGTTTTATTTTCCCTGCCTCCCTCCCAGCGCAGTGTCCAAGCACGGTTCTGGGATATTTGCTCGTAGAGAAATAGACTTGTCTCACTCCAACTATTTTGCGTCGTTTTCTGTGTGTTGCCTCTGCCCCATGTCCAAACCCGTGGTGTCGGCCCTGCATTCTTCCGGGCTGAACCTACTGTCTTGAGGCACATGACGTTCTGGGACAGCCCTGTGCATTACATCAGCCCTCTGTCACGGACCCCATGGCACCCGTTGGCACCCAGCTCGGCTGCTGTCTGGAGGGCGACGTGACGGCGGTTTC